ACGGCCAACTCACGTGCTATAGTATAAATATCTCACAATCAAGCCCTAGGCCTCACTTAGTCATAAATTTCTCCAGTCTCTCGGGCTCTCAATAATCATGAAATCAGCCCAAACAATAATGATATGATGTATCAATAATAACAGAGACTGAGATAAAATGTGCAAGTAAAAACTGAAACTAAATATATATAGCATTTAGCAGGCAATTCAACAAGTACGCGTCCTCTGTGGGTCCCAACAGTACTATCACATAGCCTAAGCATGATTTCTAACATGATTTACAGTCAAATTTTGTCAACACATAGAGAGCATATAGCTAACAACAAATTATTCAACTTTACAGTTTGCCGGGACGGACCAAGTCACAATCCCCTTGATGCACACCCACACGCCCGTCACCTAGCATGTGCGTCACCTCCAAAATAAATCACATGATACCAAAATCTGGGGTTTAATACCCTCAAGACCAGATTTAAAACTGTTACTTACTTCAAGCCGTGAAATTCTTATTCTGCAATGCCCTTTCCTTGTGAATTAGTCTCCAAACGCCTCGAATCTGGTCATAAATAGTTTGTTTCAGTCAATAAAATTCATTGAAATTAATTCCATAAGAAAATAATGATTTTTCACAAAAATTCGAAAATTATCTCAAAAATCGTCCGTGGGGCCCACGTCTCGGAACTAGACAAAAGTTACAAAATTCGGAAGCCTATTCAACCACGAGTCTAACCATATCAATTTTATCAAAATCCGACCCCAACTCGACCCTCAAATCTTTAATTTAAACCAAGAGGGTTTTCAAATTTCCCCAACTCCATTCACCAATTAAATGATAAAAATAATCATGGATTCGGGTAATTTAACCAATATTGAGTTAAGAACACTTACACCGTTGTTTCCTCTGAAAATCACCCAAAATCGCCTAAAATCCGAGCTCCAAATCGTCAAAAACTGAAAATGGGACGAAGTCCCATTTTCCGAACTTAAACTCACTGCCCAGGATTTTCTTCTTCGCGAACGCGGTCAGTGCCTCGCGTTCGCGAAGCACAAAATAGCTCCCGTCCAAATTCCTCCTTCGCGAACTCGACATCACCCTCGCGTTCGCGAAGCACAAAATGCCTATGCCTCAATGCCTTCTACGCGAACGCGTTCAACCCATCGCGAACGCGATGATTCGTTCTCCCTCACTACGCGAACGCGACACCCCCTACGCGAACGCGTAGACCAATTGCCTCGGATCCTCAGCTGCTTCCTCTCTTCTTCGCGAACGCGTAACACCTCTCGCGTTCGCGATGCACACCCAGTCCACCCTTCGCGAACGCGTTCTTCTCTTCGCGAACACGAAGAGAAAATATTGCCAGCCTCTCAGTTCCTCTTCGCGAACACGAGGCTCCATTCGCGAACGCGATGAAGGAAACCAGATGGTGCATCAGAATAATTCCAGCAGAGTTTCAAGTCCAAAATCCAACCTGTTAACCATCCGAAACTCACCCGAGCCCCTCGGGACCTCAACCAAATATACCAACAAGTCCTAAAACATCATACGAACTTAGTAGAACCCTCAAATCACCTCAAAAAATGCTAAAATCATGAATTACACCCCAATTAAAGCCTAATGAACATTTGAAATTTCTACTTTCTACAAACGATTCCGGAACCTATCAAATCATGTGCGATTGACCTCAAATTTTGCACACAAGTCATAAATAACATAATAAAGGTATTCCAATTTCAAGAAGCAGATTCCGACCCCGATATGAAAAAGTCAACCTCCCCGGTCAAACTTCTCAAAAATTAAACTTTCGGCATTACAAGCCTAATTCCTCTACGGACCTCCAAATAATATTATAAACACTCTCTTAAGCCCAAAATCACCATAAGGAGCTATTGGAATTATCAGAATTCTAATCCGAGGTCGTTTACACATAGGCCCATATCCGGTCTACTTTTCTAACTTAAATTTTCAATTATGAGACTAAGTGTCTCATTTCACTCTGAGTTCTTTCCAGACCCGAACCAACTAACCCGATAAGTCATAAATCAATTACAAGACATAAATTGAGAAGTAAATAGGGGAACGGGGTTATAATATTCAAAACGACCGGTCGGGTCATTACAGCCATAGAGCTATACGTCAAACTGCCTCACAGCCATCTGCATCACATCCGCATGGATCATATCCCTACATATCACAGCCACATGGATCGCATCCATCCATGTCACAGCCACTCGGGTCACAACCATCAGTATCACATCCACTTGGGTCGCATCCAGCTATGTCGTAGTCACAGGGATCGTAACCATCTTCATCATTGACTCCATCTATTGTAGGCCTTCGCCTGCGAGGCAGTAGCTCTAACCCGCCTACACCGTCTTCACATGCCTCTGATACACATGCTTTGGATGGTGATGACGAGGTAGTGCATTATGATCGATATGGCAGGATCATCATAGTCCTTGAAGGTGATGGGTAAGTGTTATTCATTATTTTTGCGTCTATTGATTTGTAACATTTTTATTAAGATATTAATGTATTTTTATTGTTTAATTGTAGGTTCATGCCAGGTAATAAGACTACGAAGATAATCACCAATGCTATCAGAAAGCTTTATGATGGTCCTTATGCAACTTGGACTGATTGCTTATTCTCGCTGAAGGAGTAAATTTTCAATCAATTTAAGGTATAAATATTCTTTTAAACAGTTTAATAATTTATATTTATGATGTTTTCATATAATATTTAACTTTTGAAATACAGAGCAAGTGTTTATGGGAAGACCTCTATAGCGCAAAAGTGACTGCAAATGTTTATCATAAAGCTCGTAAGAGATTGGTAGATGCTTTCTCGGATGCTAGAAAGAAGAACAAGAGGCCCGCCTGGTTATTTGAGAATTTGTGGAATGATTTACAAAGGCAATGGCTTACCGCGAAGTTCTTAGAGAGGAGCGAAAAAGGAAAGAAAGCTAGCGCATCCGAGAAGGGAGGCTCCTTGCACACTAGAGGTGCGATCAACCTAGGGACAATAAAAACAAGATTGGTACGTAATTGCTTAAATTATTTTACTTTTCTAAGTATATCTATTTTGTTTATTAAATAAATTAATTTATTTTCACTAAAAGAAGTTTGGGCGTCCAATGAGTCATAATGATCTATTCAAGGAGACGCATATTGTGAAGAAGAAGAAAAAGGGGGATCAAGATAGGTGGGTCGAGTACCGGGCCTCGACTGCATATGTAAGCTTTCAATTTTCTTTAAGTATTATAATTTACTTTTATAAAAATTTTGTAATACTGATTTAATTTAAAATAATATAGGGTCTCTACCAAAGTAACGTTGAGGAATTCATCCGTAGTCATCCAGCTGGTGAATCGGGTGAACCAACCCAATCTTCGGACGAGGATGCTGAAAGAATATGGTTGGAGTGTGTTGGCGGTCCAAAATGGGGGAAGGTATACGGGTTTCCTACTAAAAACTTCCATCGCTATAAGTGTAGAATGCGAGGAATAGGGACTTCCTCGCAAGGCGAGCAACTTAATAGGGAGAGCCTCTCTGCTATACGGGAGACAGTGACAAAGCTCACATCCGAGCTAGAAACGGCCAAGGAAAGAGAAAGGCTTAGAGATGCTCAATTCCTTGGCATGCAAGCTCAGATCAGAACTCTCCTATCTAGTGGAGCTTTTTCGTTGCCCCGATCTCGCGAGTCATCTCCAGAGGGTCGACCTCCATGTGATTGTTCCTCCCGTCCTGCTCGTGATCGTTCCTCCCGTCCTCCCCGTGATCGTTCTTCCCGTCCTCCACAAGACCGTTCTCTATACCGTCTTGTAAATGAAAGTTCATCAGACGGTGATGATGATGTTGTAGAAAACACCCCTTGACTTTTATAGACTTTGAACTAGACAAATAGAACCAGTTTTGAACTAGTTATAATTAGTTTTAACTTGGATTGAACTTTAATTTGTTAGTTTTAAAGTATTTATTGAATGTTTTGGTTGTTGTTGTGTTGTTGTTGTTGTGTTGTTGTTGTTGTGTTGTTGTTATTAGGTATATTGGTATGCTGGCAGGTGGTGTAGCTGCCAAAACAGGCATTTTATGCCAAAATTAAACCCAGAAAAACCGACCAAAGTTGGTCGATTTTTAATTTTAAAAAAAAGTTATTCCAAAATACCGACCAAAGTTGGTCAGTTAATGAACATTGAATTCCCAGAATTCAACATTACTGACCAACTTTGGTTGGTATTTTGCCTGCACTATTGAGGTTACCGACCATAGTTGGTCGGTAATGTTTATTTTTAATTATTTGAAAAAAATATATTTTTTGAATTACCGACCAAAGATGGTCGGGTTTTTTAAATTTTAATAATTAATAAAAAAAATATAATTTAGTTAAACCGACCAACTTTGGTCGGTAAAATTAAATTAATAAAATATATTTCCGACCAAAGTTGGTCGGTAAGTACTTAAACTTGTCAGATGGTCGTTTTAAGCTACCGACCCAATGTTGGTCGGTAATTTCCGATCAACTTTGGTCGGTAAGCCATTCCGACCATCAAAACACCGTTCACACACTAATGGTCGTGTTTTGGTCGGTAATTGACCAAAACCGACCAACTTTGATCGATTTTTTTGTTCGGTTTTTAGCGAATTTCTAGTAGTGAGTGGATGGCCGTACAGGATAATAACTCTTGTTGGAACTTGAACTACTAAATCATTCAAAGCACAAACAAGAAAAGAAAGGAAATTTAAATGTGCCGGAGTGGTAAAGAACGAATCTGAACATAGAAGATCAAGAGTGATGAGAAATAGTAACCGCATGGGCAATTATTTTTTACCGAATGAAACTAAAGTTTAGTTACTAAACCATTGCAAGTTTGCAACATTTCGCCAAACGCAACAATTCCGTGACTACTGATAATTGGTAGTTGTTTGTCGGATTTTTATTTTATTTTATTAAATAGAGTATTTAAGTTAATATAGATAATTTAACTTTGACTTAAGGACTTCCTACTTTTAATATAATATAGATTTATAATAATAGTTACACATCATAGCCATTAATAATTAAACTGTGTCAACATTTGACTCAAAATCTCTTTCTTTCCTTCACGGGTCCCCTTGGTATCTTGTTAAGAACTTTGGTATCAAATTTCTTGTACAATTTCTTCATATCTTGGTTCCCTTTGCTTGCTAGATAATCCACCTCGTCTTGATACTTCTCGTACATAGCTGGTAGTGTTGCCACGCACAGAAACCCTAATAACCCATTCATCAACCCACACTCTTGATTAAAATCACAATTCCCTTGGTATAAAAAGGAAAAATACTAAAACAGTAAGGAGTCGTCTGATTCGAACACAAGTTATACATAGATTAGTAATGCAGATATTAAGTAGTGCATTAAATTAATAATTCGTGGACAAATAGTACATGAATTATGTTTTGGAATGTTTGGTTTATTGAACTAAAATTGAGCACACAAAGTACCATCTAAATTTTTTACTTACTTTTAAAACTAAAAAAACAATAAATTTACAATTATACCGAGGATATTTGGTCTTCATAGGCTTCTTGGGAACAAAAGATAATTTTATCCTTTTGGTATTTTATCCATGTATAGATTATACATGAATTAGTTATTTCACGTCGGTGATGGGATAAAATAATACACCAATTGATATATAAAATAATGCATGGATTAGTTATTTTTACATTTAAAATCATCATCAAATAATGTATTAACCCAGTACAAATTACACCATACCAAATGACCCCTGAAGAGATGAGTCACTTGATGAATGAAGCATAAATCATGAAAATTTAATTGGGGGGGGGGGGGG